GCGCCGTAGAGCGGGGGGCACGACGAAGCTAGTGGGGGCGTGGCCTATGCCCGGACTCAAGATGGCCGTCGGGACCGTCCACCCTGGCTCCCAGGGCGGGGAGGAGAGGATCGAAGGCTCAGGTGCCATTGGTGGAGTTGCCCACCGTTCATCCTCGGGGGGCGGGAGTGACAGCGTCCCGATTTCCGGTTCCGGTCGTACCCGGAGTCCTGCCGAGATGGAGGAAGATGCGACCCGAGGCCGGCTGTCGCTGGGAGCAGCGGATAGAGCGGGACCTGCGGCCTAGAGGTGTGGGCTTGGAGTTCGCCTCGGACGCGGCGGGACCGCCCTGATCTGAGAGGGTAAGAAACCACTGGCTTGGGGCGCCTGAGGACCAAGGTCTCCGAGGACCTGGACCTGTGAAGAAGGCGACGGGTGTCTGCAGTGTCCCGCTGCAGTTCCGTGGGAGCCCGCCACACAGTTGTGGGGATGGAGGACTGTAACGAGGCATCTCTTCCTGTCGGAGGAGCATGAGGTTCGCTGACAAGCGCAAGAGGCATGGCGAGAGGCCTGGCCAGGGGCATGTCCGAGGACCCAGAGGCTGTGCGGGGGCAGGCCCGACGCTGGGTGAAGGGGTGGCCTGTGGAGTAGGTGGAGAGGGTTGTCATGTGGTACCTGCGATGAGGGATCACGTGGGCACCTACTGAGCACCAGAGGAAGGCTGGTTGGGAATTTCACCCAATCCCAGGGAGGCGTCTACCTGGAAGGAGGGGTCGGAGGTATCACCAGGGACCTCCCCTAAGGAAATGCATATTCATTAAGACAGGTGGGCATGCGTGTAAATATATTCACGTTCGTGTAGGTAGCTCCCAGAATGCAGAGGGTTGCTGCAGATGCTCTGGGGAGACCCGAGGAACAGGAGGAGGAAGCAAAGATCTTGTTTGCAGCTGAGAAATGGGGACCAATCCCCAGGGGTGTCTTGCTAGGAGTTACAGAAGGTGACTTAACTTGTTAGGGGTGGTTGACTGAGATCCGAATGAGTCCAGTAGTCATCACTGGGCCCAGTACTGGTGACCAGTCAGGGTGGAGTCAGGGCTTTTAAGCCAGGCATAAAAGCCCTGGATTTTCAGAGTGGGAGTTATCTTTGTTACAATACTGACCGGCCTTCATATTTAAAGCACTGCTTCCTAAAGTGATACACATGTTAATTGCTCCAGATCTTGTTAAAACGTTGCCTTGTATTCAGCAGATGGAGCGTGCATTCTGAAATTCTGCACTTCTCACCAGCTTGCAGGTGACACCCATGTTATGCTGCTGGTCTGTGCACCAGGCTGAGTAGCGAGGATGTAGAGTTTTGTGCAAGAGAGCTTGCTCTCTGCTGCTAACCAGAGGCTCTCATGCACATCAGCTCACATCAGCTGCACCACACTGTTCTACAGTCGTGCACTTTATAATGTTTCGGTCAACGACGTACCACATGTGCGACGATGCTCCCATAAGACTATAAGAGCTGGAAACTTCCTGTCGCCCAGTGACCACATACCTGTCCTGACACGTGTCTGGTGACGCTGTGCAGACAGACCTACGTGCTGCCCGTCGTATAAAGTACAGCAGACACAGTTATGTACAGTACGTGATACTTGGTAATGAATGACTGGTACTGGTTTATGTGTTTACTACACTATACTTTTTAATCATTATTTTAGACTGTACTCCTACTTGGATAAAAAAAGTTGGCAGTACACAGTGTGCCGTGTCACGCCAGCAGCAGCCTCACACATCTCGTGTTGTTTTATAAATGTGTAGCCTAAGCGTCCAGTGTGTGCGCAGCCTACAGTGGTTACAGCACCTCCTGGGCCATCACACCCACTCCCCGCTCACTCCCTCACTCCCTCACTCCCTCCCCCAGAGCAGCTTCCAGGCCCGCAGGCTCCATTCGTGGTGAGTGCCCTGGCCGGGTGTGCCGTCTCTTTTGTACCGTATTTTTTTTTTTTTAATTTTTTTAGCTGAGCCATCCTGCTACCTGTTGGCAGCTCAGTGGCAACTCAGCTCGGGCTGGGCATTGAACCGCTGTTGCTCAGCGCTTGCACTCTTGCGCGAGCTCTTAACCAACTGAGCCACTTGGCCGGCCCTTGTACCGTATTTTTACTGTAGCTTTTCTACGCTGAGATACGCAAATACTCTCCATTGTGTTCCAATTGCCTACAGTATCAGTCCAGGACATGCTGTACGGGCTTTTATCCCGGGAGCAATAGGCCACGCCGCATGGCCGGGGTGTGGAGTAGGTTACGCCACCTGGGTGTGTGTGAGGGCCTCCGTGATGTTCACATGATGACGAAAGTGCCCAGTGGCACATTTCTCAGAATGCATCCCTCTTGTGAAGTAGCGTGTGACCGTATAGCTATAACAGGTGTGATTAGCCCCGTCTCACAGATGAGGAAACTGTTTCCCTGATGTGACTTGGTTCCAGTCATACCAGGAAGTGATGGAAGGGGAGCTCAAACCTGAGTGTCCTGACTACTGGTGTTCCTCCCACTCCATGACCTTGCCTTCCGGGTGACACTGCCTTATCTGAACCAGCATCTTCTCTCAGAACCTCATAAATAGCTTAGTGTGTTTTTTCTGGTACAAAGAAAGTGGAAGAGGAGAGGCGGTATCCCGAGCACACCGGTTTTGTCCCTTTCCACGTGTGGGCTTGGTAGGGGGGGTTCTGCCTCTGACATCTCATTTGATGACCTGAGGACATCGCAGGTCATGTCAGGCACCCATAGGCAGCACTTCGGCCTTTGTGCCCCAGCAGTGTTAAAAGATGGGGGGAGCTCAGAACTGCAGCCAGGCACACCAACAAGGGTCTGGGAAGAGCCGCGAGAGGTGGGCTGATCGAGTTGGGATAAAGGCGGGCTGGAGGAAGGTAATCAGCAAGGAGGGCTTTCCAGAGGGTCGGACAGGAGCTGGTTGTGATAGTTCAGCGGGAACATTGGGGGTCACATAACAAAGAGCAGGTTGAGGTCCCACCTTCTAGGAGCAGCCTCACCTTTTAAAGGGGTAGCGGGGGTGGATGCAACGCCCTCTCTTCCTTCACTAGAGGCGTATCCCTCTGAGGCACGCCCCTTAGTGGCTTCTGTCACCATGGCAATGGCAGGAGTTACCTGCTCCAGTCTTGGAGAGTCCCCCCTTTCCTTCTGGGAATTTAAAATAAGACTGGCACATGCCAGAGATGGAGGAAAATGGGCACTGGGTCCTGAGGGTTTCTCATAAGGAGATTTCGGTGCTTTGTGTGGGACTCAGCTTGACACGCTGAGGTGGTGCCTCCCAAACAGGTCCTGGAACAGAACGCTTTGTTGCTCTGGTTTGCATGAGCCCCGCAGGAGGCCGTCCTGCCTTGGCCCTGCTGTATTTGTCCAGTGACAGCAGTGTGCCTGCCCAGCTGCTCAACTTGCTCACTCCACAAGCACAGAGAAAGCAGAGGCAGCGCTTGGTGTCTTTGGAACAAAGCTGAGAGAACTCCCCGGGCATCGGAGGGGCCAGGAACTTGTGCTCAAGCCTTGGGTGACCAGCAGTCATGAGGGCATTCATTCCACCTCCCGTGTGGGAACGGCAGCTTTAGACCGAGCAGTGACTTGTGCTGGCGCTGCCCAACTCCCAGGGGTAGAAGGTGGAGTAGAGAATTCTTGGCTTAGATCCTGCCTCCACCAGTGACCAGCTGCATGACCTTGGGCCTGTTTCTTTTAACGTATCTGACCCTCTGTTTCCTCATTTAGCGGAAGTGTTACTACACAGGTTAAGTTGTAAGGATCACATGAGGTAATAGGTACGTGCTCCGTAAATCCTGGTCTTCATCTCATTCGTAATGGGAAAGGCCTTGGGACCCTGGATGACAGTCACCTGGGGCAGGTGAGACAGTGACCACGTTCTCTTGAGGGGCCTTAAAGGAGAGATTGCCCCACTGGACTTGGTGGATGTCCCGGGCTGAGGCTGGGGAGGAAGGACCACCTCTGCCCCCAGCAAGTGGCACGTCAGTATTCCAGGGCTTCTCCTCCTGGAACCCCCCTCCACAGCCTAGAGTCTCCATTCTGGCCAACCCAGTTGTTCCAAGCCATTGCTCTTTCCCTTTCACTGTCTGCATGCATTCCTCCTCCATTCAAACTGCCTCGTCCTCCTCCAGGAAGCCTGTCTTGGTTACATGTTCCGCACCACGCCTCGGCGTGCACCGCAGGTCTCCTGTACTTTCCTGAAAGTGGTAGTCCAGCTCAGAGAACTCGGGAATGCTAACCTTGACTTCTGTGGTAAATGGTAAACCAAGAAGCTACTCAGGCCAGTTGGGACCTTTGGCTGGGAAAGGTGGTTGAAGATGGACTCTGACTAAACATTTGACATGAGGTGTGTCGAGTTACCCGCACCGGGACTGCTTGTGTAGAACCTCTCAGACCTCTAACTTGTCCCTTTGATGCGCCACCTCCTTTCCCAGCCCTTGGGGATTTCTCTCAAAGCCTGGGGAGTCCCTGACTTGTCACTTTTTGGAATTGAACTTCTCCTTTTCCCCTTCTGGCTGAGAATGTCCAGTGTCCTACACAGGAGCACATTCCATTGTTGTTAAGAGTATGCGCAGTCTGTGACGTCCTCTCGCCGTACAGCTCCCGATTTGGTTGTTATTACGCTAGAAAACTTAACCGTGTGTTTGATGCACACCAGGAGGGCCTCATGTACGTTAATTTACCCTGGTTTCTCTGTAGCTGACATCCATTCCCCAGAGGGATAGTGTGTCTCCTGGAACGGACTGTGCGCTTTCGAAGGCAGAGGTGTGTCCTGTTACTCGACTCTCCCTTCCGTACCTGGGACTGGGGTGATGACTTATGTCTTTAGGGACAAAAGGGGCCAACATGTTCTCTACCTTGTAGTTTTCAAGACCCTTCAGGTGGCTCTCTCCTTTCTAGAGTGAGTTATCTAATAACCAAAGAGGACTCTGACCTTTGCCTCATTCCTAATGTTCCAACTCCTTTCATTGGAGGCAGGGGAGGTGTGTGTGTGTGTGTGCGCGCGCCCTGTGGTGTGAAAGCCCCACTTAGCTTCTTCCCACACTTTCTCCTAATGCACTGTGAAAATGGACGTGTAGTGAGTGCGGGCAGGGGGAGCTCTGAGGGGCCAGTGTGGAAAGCAGAGATAGGCGAGTCAGCCGGCGCGTGGTGAGGAGAGGTGCCTGCTGAGGGTAAAGGGCCTCCTCGTGGGCCCAGAGCCACAAACATGGAGCCCTTCCTCCAGCCTTCCGGAGCCTGCTAGGTGTCACTGGTGACATCCCCTCAGCCTACTGAGACCTCGCATCCGGCCAAGGAGTGGGTTTGTCCGCAGTACCCTGAGCTCTGCCTGGTGAGCTGGAGGAGGAGGAAGGCCATGACGCCAGGAGCCAGGCAGAGGCCGAGACCAGAATGATGGCCCTCTAGGCTGGGGAAGGGAGCTAAGGCGGGAGTGGGAGCAGGGGCGCCGTCACAGGTGAGGAACGGCTCCTGGCCTTGGAAGGACTGATAAGGGAGAGGGACGGGGGCCGCAGAGCCAAGCAGGCCCCCCAGAGATGAGCCCGTGCCAGCCGCCCTGCTCACCGCCCCCACCCGCTCGATCCCCAGGGTTCAGGCGCCATGGAGGACAAGCGCAACATCCAGATCATCGAGTGGGAGCACCTGGACAAGCGGAAGTTCTACCTGCTGGGCGTGGCCATGACCATGGCGATCCGCGTCAGCGTGTACCCCTTCACGCTCATCCGCACTCGGCTGCAGGTGCAGAAGGGCCGCAGCCTCTACCAGGGCACCGCGGACGCCTTCATCAAGATCCTGCGAGCAGACGGCGTGGCTGGCCTCTACCGGGGCTTCCTGGTCAACACCTTCACGCTCATCTCGGGCCAGTGCTACGTCACCACGTACGAGCTCACCCGGAAGTTTGTCGCCGACTACAGCCAGAGCAACACAGTCAAGTCGCTGGTGGCCGGGGGCTCAGCCTCGCTGGTGGCCCAGAGCATCACGGTGCCCATCGACGTGGTGTCACAGCACCTGATGATGCAGCGCAAGGGCGAGAAAATGGGCCGCTTCCAAGTGCGGGGCAGCCCAGAGGGACCCGGGGTGGTGGCCTTTGGCCAAACCAAGGACATCATCAAGCAGATCCTGCGGGCCGACGGGCTTCGAGGCTTCTACCGGGGCTACGTGGCTTCCCTGCTCACCTACATCCCCAACAGTGCTGTCTGGTGGCCCTTCTATCACTTCTACGCAGGTAAGCAGGTGGGGGGGCTGGAGGGTGCGCTCGCTCGTGGGGCTGAGATGCCCCGCGTGTTGCAGTGGCAGGCCGACTGGGAGGAGGGGCGGTTCATTTACAAACACGAGACCTGAGAGGATTCCAGGATGAATACGACCTGGTCCCTGCCTTCGAGGCGCTTCTATTAGAGTGGGGGGATCAGACAAGCAGAGCAGGTGGTCTTCTTAAGGCAGTGACAACACTTGCCTTGGAGTTACCTGTGTGTGCCTTAGCCCTTCTACCGTGGGCAAAGGTCTTTTATTTTTATTTTTTAAAGATTTTTATTGGGGATTTGGGGGATGGGAACAGTGCTGGGGAATTGGGGGAAGGGGAACAGAGAAGTTGCTGTCGTTTTGTTCTTCAGTCTAGTTGTGGAGGATGTTGCTTCACTGGCCCAAGTTGGCACCATCATTAAGCTCTTCCCGGGCGAGGCAGATCAGTCGCTGGCTTCTGGATGGCCGCTCACTGTGGCTGCTGGCTACACACGGTAGCCCATGGCAACCCACTGCAGCAGGTGTTGCAGCCTACGCCATCGCCAGAGGGCAGCCCAGCTCCAGGTTGAGCTGTTGTTCAGCATCTTAGCTGTGGAGGGCAGTGTCACTGGCCCTCATATGTGGGATCCGAACCGGGGCCCTCTGGCATCTCAAGCCAGCTCTTAACCAATGCGCCACTCGGCCCGGTCTTTTATTTTTTAACGCATATTTTTCCAGCTCTATGGGATATAATTGACTGGAAAGGTTCTTGGAAGAGGGAGGGAATTAACATCTGTTGAATACCCACTATGTGCCCAGTGTGACCACTGTGTGTCTCAGAGTTTGGTGAGGCAAAGTGCTCAGTAAATATTTGCTGAATGAGTAGACTGGTTCTCATCACTCCGTTTTGGTTAAAATCTACCCACGCCGATGTGTGGGCATTTAGAATAAAATCTAATGTGTCCCATGGTCAACACGCTTCTCCAACCCCATCTCGTGCTGCTCCCTGCTTTCTCCATCTGGGCCGCTGTCACTGCTTTTCTCTCAGTGCCTGAAGCTCCCCAAGCTCTGTTCGCACCTCAGAGCCTTTGCAAACACTCCTCTCCTGGAATACCTTTCCCCCGCTCTCGCTCGATGGCTGTCTCCTTCTCGTGCTTCGGGGTGGAGCTTCCATGCCACCTTTGCAGAGAGTGCTGTTTTAACTACCCATCTGGAAAGAGGGTGCTGTTTTCTGTCAGCACCATACTCCTTCACAGCAGTTGTCATGATTGGTATTTACTGTATTCCCACTCCCAGCTCCTTAATTAGACTCTAAGTTCCATGAAGGCATTTCCCGTCCATTACTCTGTTTTGTGTCTAGTGCTTATCTCAGTGTCTGGCATTATTAGTAAGCATTAAATATATAAGTACTGATTTCTATTACTTGCCCAAACTCATTTAGCCAGGAGGGACTTAAGTCAGATAGTAGGTGCCCAGTAAAAGCCTGCTGAATGAATAATGAAGAAGGAAAGACCCCCGTTCCCACCCTCTTGCCTTTGGTCTTCCCAGCTTCTCTTAAGCCCCAGAAAGGTGGCCTGTGTGCGTGACTACTCGGAGCCTGGGTCCCGCTGCAGCTCCTAGGCCTGGGGCCAGTGCAGACAGGCCACGGAGGCTGGCAGTGCCAGGCCAGACTCTACCCTCTAATGGTTGCGAAATGCTTTCTTTCTAGAGAAACAGGACACCCGTGAGGTGGAGCCACTGGTTCACTCTGTTTGTATGCTGACCCTGGGGAGAAAGTGATTACAAATCGGGGAAGAGGTGGCTCTGGTAGGACTGAGGGAATTCTGCCACACGGCCGGGACTTAGAAGCCCTCACTTCTGCCCTGCCAACCCCCACCATGCTTCTTGTCCCCTAATCTTTGGTTGCCTGATGACAAATTACCCAAATATGAGAGAAGTCTTAAAGGTATTATGGCGGCTGAACTGCAGAGAGAAAACAGGGAATATTTGAGAGTGAAAGCCAGAGTCCTTGCAATGGCCTCAGGGTCCTAAATGGCATATCTCTGGACCTTATCCACTGTTCTTCCCTCACTCTTTCTACTCCAGGCATACTGGCCTTGCTGCTTCTGGGAATCTTCAGCTGTGCTCCTGCCTCAGGGTCTTTGCACAGGTTATCAGCTTGGAAAGTTCTTTTTACAGAGCCACGTGGCTTGCACTCTCCTTTAGGACTTTGCTCAAACTTCACCTTCTTGGAGAGGCTTCCATGACAACCTGGTTTAAAATGGCAACCCCTTCACCTCCTACACTTGGCATTTCCTATCACCCTTTCTTGCTCTGTTTTTATCTGTAGCAGCTCATATAACTATATATTTTGCTTTATTATTACCTGTCTGTAAACTTCATAGGAAGGTGGGATTTGAGGCTCTTTAACGCACTGTTCCACCCTCAGGACCCAGGGGCACTTGCTCATGGTTGCCACTCAGTGCGCCTTTTTAAAATTTTTTTATTTAAGATTTTTATTGGGGAATTGGGGGGATGGGAACAGTTCTGGGGAATTGGGGGAAGAGGAACAGACAAGTTGCTGTCATTTTGTTCTTCAGTCTAGTTGTGGAGGACGTTGCTTCACTGGCTCAAGTTGGCACCATCATTGCGCTCTTCCCGGGCGAGGCAGATCAGTCGCCGGCTTCTGGACGGCCGCTCACTGCGGCTGCTGGCTGCTCACACTGGCTGCTGGCTACATACGGTAGCCCATGGCAACCCACTGCAGCAGGGGCTGCAGCCTACACTGTCCCTGGCGACTCACGACAGCCCAGCTCCAGGTCGAGCTGTTGTTCAGCATCAGCTGTGGAGGGCAGTGTCACTGGCCCTCATATGTGGGATCCAAACCGGGGCCCTCTGGCGTCCCAAGCCAGTTCTTAACCATTGAGCCACTCGGCTGGCCCTCGGTGCACCTTTGTTGAATGAATGAACAAACTTGTCTTTCACCTTCAGAGGGTAAAGCAAAAAATTCAACTGCAGGTGAACTTCCTAGTGGTACTGGGACGGGCACCTGGGTACTATCCCATCTTCACCAGCATTTTGAAAAACGATTTTTTCTTTCTTGATATAAGCTGGAGAAAAGCTCTCACTATAGGATATGAATCTCTTTTCATTGTAATTGTTGTTATTTGTAAAAACGTTCACGCGGGTTCAAAGTTGAAAAGGTAGGAAAAGGTGTGCTGTGAAAAGGCTTCTTGCCCACGAGTCACCCACCTCCCTTCCTTAGACACAGTCAAAGGCGCCCACTTTTTAGTGTGTCCTGTCAGTTACTCAGTGCAGGTAAAAAGTATGTAGTGTTTGCTTTTCTAGCTTAAGAGTCGGGAGGCGTAGAGCACCAGCGTAAGAGTTTCCCATCAGGGAGGATTTCTGTCCATCGGATATGAAGGGAGTCAGCAAGCAAATAGGTTTTGAAAGCCCCTCCTCTGGAGGAATTTTGTACTGTTCAGAATGGGTGAGGTAACCAGGATGACTTCCGGAAGGGGCCTGAGATTGATCATTTTTCTTGGCTCAGAAGGAAGCAAAGAGAAAAAAGATGGTAGTCACTGGGGGTGGGGGCTCTCAGGTGGCCAGAGGAGGAGGGCTTGTCTTCCTTGGCAGAAGCCATATGAGGGCAGACGGGCTGGGGCCCCATGTCTTATGGCGCCGTCTTTCCCTTCATTTCAGAGCAGCTTTCGTGCCTCTGCCCTAAGGAGTGCCCTCACATTGTCTTTCAAGCCATCTCAGGCCCCCTGGCTGCAGCCACTGCTTCCATCCTCACCAATCCCATGGATGTCATCCGAACCCGAGTGCAGGTAAGACCAGCCTCCTGCTCCCACGTGGGCCGTTAGAAGCATGATCTTCAGGCCCTTCTGCCTTGCCCTGACCTGTGTCATGGCTCCAGAGCCCAGCAATTCCTGTCCTGGTCATCCAGGCCCCTTCTGTGTGGCTACGACTTACCATCTAGAGACCAGCCGAACCCTCTGAAGGACCTAGCGTGTTTCTCTCCTCCTGTCTGCTGCCTGCAGGCCTCTAGGAATTTTTACCGACTGCTTCCAGCCTTTCATCCTGTTAGCATAGCCTATCAACCACCTTGTCCTATCTTGCAGGTTTGTGGTTATTAGAAATACTGATTTCAGTTACTTTCCTAAGTCTGTCTGGTTTCTCCACGGGGCTATGAGCTCTCTACAGACAGTGACAATGACTGCTCTGGAACAGGTGTCGCAGATTGTACTGTGTGCACTCAGCAGGAATGCTGACAAGCCCTTGGTGGTGTTGTCCAGAGGGTACAGCCTGTCTGCAGTTAGCTCAAGAACCCTTTCGCAGCTCCTGGTCCGAGGAAACAGAATCGGAATGATGCTGTACAATATACACATTTTATATTTTAATATACAGATTTTGCTGTATAAAGCTTCAGGTCAAGAGAATGGGGGATTTTAATTTCTGATTTGGGTAGCTTAAGAGGAAAGCTGTCCAGAAGAGGGGGGTCATTTGGTGATGATGAGGGAGGGAGGGCAGGTTGGGGGCAGTTAGCTTCCTGATAGCGTGTGGGGGTGGGGGTGGCTGGTAAATCTAGGTGTTTTTGCCCCTTGAAAACAGCGCCCTCGTTCCTACCATACACATTTGAAAATGAATAAAATTGGCATCTGATTGGTTTGCAAGTAATTGGTTTACAAGTGCACAGGTTCCATCTTCATTCTTTCCTGAGCCCTGGGTGTCCCAGGAGTTCCAGAGGAAGGGCAGGTCTCTACTTTGAGGGGCTCCCAGGCCGGAGGCGAGGGCATAGCTACAAAGCCCTCGGCGAGGCCATGGGTCCATGGGAGGGCCAGGGCAGCAGAGGCGGTCAGATGAGAGGACTGATAGGGAGGAGGGAGTGGGGAGGAGGCAGGGAGGAGTGGACAGGTGTTCTTAGCCATGGATGGGATCACCTGTGACGGTCACACAGTACAGGGGATGGATCTGTCCTGCCTTGGCTGAGGGTCTGGTGGGCGGGATCTAAAGGGGTAGTTTGGTGGCAGGGTAAGAGGGGTGGGGGAAGGTTGAGAACGAAAAAGAGCTCTCTGCCTCAGCCAGGCTTTCACTGTGACAGTGAGGGCAGGTGCTTGGGGGACAGTAGGGTCAGATGGGAGGGCTCCAGCCATGGGGGTCCAGAGGGATTGAGGTGACCAGAGTGAAAATCACAGACTGGCTGAGCTGCGGAGGACCTTAGCTGCAGGTGACTGAATCCAGCCTCCCTGAGAGCAGAGAGAAGCACCCAGTCCAGCCTCGTGGCCATGCAGCTTAGCTAACGGAGGTAACAGTGGCTGATGTGTACTGAACACTTACTATCTGCCAGGCTCTGTTCTCATTCAAACCCAACTTGAACCCAACATTTACAAGTATTCTTTTGTTTACCGCTCACAACAGCCATGTGGCATGAGAACTATCATCACTGTTTTATAGATGCAGAGTTAAGTAAATTACCTGAGGATATGCGGCTGTGGTAAATTGGGGAGAATACAAACCCAGGCAGTCTGGCACCGGAGCCCACCCTAAATGGCTGTGCCGGCCCTCGGAGGCGGAGGCAAGCCCTCTGACTCCCAAGTTCAGTTCCCCCGACTCCTGCTGAAGGCAGAGGGAGGCTGAGCAGGGGCTCTGACTGCAGACCTTGACCTCCACTGTATTGACTTTTCCAGGTCGAGGGCAAGAGCTCCATCATCCTGACCTTCAGACAGCTCATGGCGGAAGAGGGGCCCTGGGGCCTCATGAAGGGCCTGTCGGCCCGAATCATCTCAGCCACGCCCTCCACCATTGTCATTGTGGTGGGCTACGAGAGCCTCAAGAAACTCAGCCTGCGACCCGAGCTGGTGGACTCGAGACACTGGTAACCAGCGGTGGGAAAGGAGCCTGCTGCCCTCCACACTGCCCTGGGGCAAGGGCAGAGGAGGGGGGAGCACCCTCTCCAAGTGCCCCCACACACAGCTAGCCCTGCCCTGGGCCAGGTGCCCTTCCGGGACAGGCACGGAAGCTGAGCTGCTCTTGCTGGAGAGGTGCCATACCTGGATCCCGTGCTCCCCGTTCTTTTTAACTTTCTTGCCAAACTGGGCTCTCTCCCTCAGTCCCTGTACTCAGTCCTGCCCTAAGGAAACCCACCCTCCCCACCAGCCCCACTCCACCCCTGCCGTGCTGACCCCCCTTCGTCTGATTTCCGCCACCTGCGTCCCTGACATCCTGAGCCAGAGCTACACGCAGGGCTTGCTCACCACCACTGGTTCTTCCCGCGGGGCCTCCAGCCAGGCTCTAAGCAGCTCCGCGAGCCCTTTCCTGCTTCATCCCATAGGCTTGCTTGTTTTTATCCTGGGCCTGAGCTGCCCACCAGACTACTCTGCTTTCCCTGCCCCTGGGGGCAAGGTGCCAGGCACGCTCGTACAGGGAGCAGCAGCAAGCAGCAAAAACCTCTGGTTCTCCAGAGCACTCGTCCTCTCTGTGGAGTTACTAGGTTGGGGAGAAATGTCGATACTTCGTGTGTATATATTTTCTAACATCTGTGATTTAGGCTACTGTCTTCATCCTGCTAAAGCACCCATTCTGTGGTCAGAGCCCACCCCTTCCATTACATAGAAAATGTAATGTAGCTTTTCCCTCGGTCCCAGGTTCCCTGTCCCTCCCACGTCCCTTGCGTCCCAGCAGCCCCAGGACACATAAGCTATGGGCTTCCCGTGGCCCAGATGACCGCCGTGGTGGGCACAGTTCTCAGGTCAAGCTGTCTGGGGAACACAGGACTTGGGGAGCACTGCCCTGAAAAGGCAGGAGAGGAGCTGGTTTGGAAAGTAACAAGAGGGTATGTGTGCCCAGCCCAGCTGAGCCAAGCCTAGGAGAGAGCATGGGGGTCCTCAGCCCCAGGCAGTCATGACATAACACACATACCCCAGTCACTTGGACTCATGGAAACGGACATTGTCTCCCCATGGGAATCCCTGAGACGTGGAGCTGCTTGTGGTTTTCTTCTCCCTGACGTGAAGTCATCCCGGGACACTTGGAAGATGGTAAAGGGCCGGTCGGCAAGTCACCCAACACCAGGACCACTGCGTTTACCAGCCTGATACTGCCGAGGTGACCTGCTGAAGCTCTCAGGAGCGAGGTGATGAGTCCTCCTCCATTCGCACCCTCTCCACCTCGGCTACCGAACTGTGTTGCAGGTGGAGAGGTGCTGCCTGTGGAATGAGAAGAAGGCCTATCAACCCCCGCACTTCTACTGGAGACATTTGGCCGGGATGATCCTCCAAACCTGTTGGTCCCACCCCCTGGGGAGGCCATGGTGCCAATGTGAAAGGTGCTAGTTACCTGAAGCCTTGCCATTTCTTACGGCTGCCCCATTCTACCGCCCTGGCCAGAGCAGAATCTGAAAACCACATTTCCCTCCCTTCAACCACCACCACTGCCCATTTTGGTCTTTTACCTTTGAGGGTAGTTTTCCCTTTAACTTTATTTTTGTTTGTCTCTTCTTGCACTTTATCAAGCGTCCTCCGATTTCTGTCCACAAATGGTCATTCAACGAGTTGAATGACCCACAGGTCACTGAATCTTCCTGCCCTTCAGTCACCCCTTTACCCTAAGAACCACCAACATATGGAAGCCAAGGGGTCCCCCTTTCTTGAAGCTCACGCTAGTGACACATTTGGAGATTGGTTTTCTCAGCGCCACACCTTCCCCTCCCTAGAGACTTGTCTTCAATCCTCCCCCACTTTGGCAAAATGGGTACAGTATCATGGGCAACAGGTTTTCTCCTGCCTCTCGTGTCTTAGGAAGTTCCTCTCAGACTCCTTTCCTTCTGATGTATTTTCTCGTACAGTGTTTCAGTCTTTCACCCATTTTCTCTCTCTCTCTCTCTCTCTCTCTCTCTCTCTCTCTCTCTCTCTCTCACACACACACACACACACACACACACTTTGGGAGGATAAAATGCATATAATAAAAGAGACACCTGGCCCCTACTTTCCCATGTAACAGTTTAGGGAATGGGATTGGGTTCGATGACAATGTCTCGGTGGGGATGGGACAGTGGGCTTCCATCTCCCCACGACCGCAGACCAGACCAGCTGGAAGTTGTGATGAATTGATCTACAGCCCGAACTGCAGGAGACTTGGGAGACCCGGCGAGACAGGAAAGCTGCTGGGAGCATCGAGGGACGGGAATGGAAACGCAGATGCGGTGAACACTTGATACAGTGGACTCTTGTGAATATTACCAGTGAACATTCACTGTTGCACTGTACAAAGTCTCTGACGTGTAATTAAACGTTTTTATTGAGCCCCTGAGCTTTGGCTCGCGCTTATTTTGCCAGCCTGCGGAGAAAGTACTTAAGCTTACGGCAGCCCTACTCTTACCTGTGCAAAACCCTCCGCCCCCGGCAGTTTCCCCTCCTCGTTGGCGGCTCGGTGATAGACATTCCGCTGCTTCCAATCGGGAGCGTCCAGTGCCGGGCGTAGCCAATCGGAGGCTCCGGTGGGCGGGGCGGCCGGGACAGTTCGACTTGGCGGTTCCACTTCAACATGGCCGAAGCGAGCGACGTTAATGCAGCCAGCGGCTGTGAGGAAAAGGGGCCTGAGGGGTCGTCCCCGGAATCGGTGCCCCCCGACACCAGCATTTCGAGGATGAAGCTCCTCGACACCACGGTGGATACTTTTCTCCAGAAGCTGATCGCCGCCGGGAGGTAAGGTACAGGAAGCGGGGCGAGTTTGGCCCGCCGGCGTCTGAGTCCCGCGAGACCAGGACGCTACACCCGCCCGCAGCTCCGTCACGTGGGGCTCGGCGCTGGGGGTTGGCTGGCCCGCTAGCCGGGAGGTCACGTGATGTGTGCTCGCGCAGGTACGGCTGCGCACCTGTACCGGCTCCCCCTGTCCTGCGGTCAGCCTAGTTTTGACCCAAACTTCCGACGGCTGAGCGGAAGGATGCGGGCTTTTGGACTTAGACCAGGGTTCAAATCACGCCCCAGTATCCTGTGAGCGGGGCTTGGCCGCGCTGGGCCCCGGCCCCTCGGCAGCAGCAGGACCGTTCTCAGAGGGTCGTTTTGAGAATTAAATGCGTAAGATGCACACGGAAAGCGCCCAGAACAGCGCCTGCCACGTAGAAAGCGCCAGAATTGTGGTTACCATGGGAATAACCCCTTCGCTGGGTGGTTGTGAGGACTGCACGTGTTACCATAGAAACACTTTTCCTGCCTCGATTTTATTTTATACGACAGTATTGTCACGATATTGGACACTTGAGGAGCTTTGCCCATGACCCCGCCGCCGAGCACATTAATGCTGAAACGCCTCTCAGAACTTCAAGGGTTTGGCCACCGCCTTTTGTCCACCCAGCCCGGCCTGTCCCCACAGGTCTGTCCTTTGACCTCAAGACGCTGTCTTCTCCCGGTCGCCTTCCCTCTTGGCTCCTTCCCACCCTCCTTTCCTGCTTAGACCTTAAGATCCATCCATTTCCTCGCTCGTTAACGCCCTCAGCATATATTTGAGTGCCTACCCTGCGGGGCTGGGGCCCTGGCTCAGCAGACTGCGCCTCCGCCTTGGAGCTTGCATTCCGTGGCTAGAGACGTCAGTAAATAAAGTAATTAGAGCTTGGTAAGGTAATTAATTAGCAGGTGATGTGACAGAGAGCAACTTGGCAGAAAGGAACTCTAGATAGGATGGTTAGGGGCCCACTCGGAGGACGTGACATTGAGCTGAACAAGAGCGAGAACTAGAGAAAAGGCATTTGGGCAAGGGGACAGCTTGTGCGGAGGCCCTGAGACGGTCAGGGCGTTCTGGAAACCGGCAGAGGCAGTGGCTGCAACGTAGTGGTCACTGGGAGAGGCAAATCGAGGAGGCTGGACAGGCAGGGGACAGCCTTATCATGCAGGGCCTAATTTCCATATAATGAATTTGATAAGATAGTTAATTAGTTTTGTTGTGTGTGTTTTTTTTTTAAGATTTTTATTGGGGAATTGGAACAGCGCTGGGGAATCGGGGAAGGGGAATAGACAAGTTGCTGTCTTTTTGTTCTTCAGTCTATTTGTGGAGGACGTTGCTTCACTGGCCCAAGTTGGCACCATCATTGCGCTCTTCCCAGGCGAGGCAGATCAGTCGCCGGCTTCTGGACGGCAGCTCAGCTCACTGCGGCTGCTGGCTACACACGCTGGCCGCTCACGCTGGCTACACATGGTAGCCCATGGCAACCCACTGCAGCAGGGGCTGCAGCCTATGCTGTCGCTGTTGACTCAGCCCAGCTCCAAGTGGAGCTGTTGTTCAGCATCTTAGCTGTGGAGGGCAGTGTCACTGGCCCTCATACGTGGGATCCGAACCGGGGCCCTCTGGCGTCCCAAGCCAGTTCTTAACCATCGCACCACTCGGCCGGCCCTAGCTAATTATTCTTATGGACCATTCATGACACACATTCATTGTTATGTCAAGGTAAGTTCCCTCCTTTGATTGAGTGATTGATTTTCCCTTACTCATTCTTGTCCTCCTCTCCCCTCAGAGGCCCTGCTGTTTGTTGGCTGTATGTCCTCCATTTATTCATTCGTTCATGTACACATACTTATTGACCACCTGCAATGTCCCAGCCTCTGTTCCAGATGCTAGAGATAGAGCCGTGATCAAGACGGAAAGGTCCCTGCCCTCGTGGTGTAGACGTTTCAGTCCCCTAGAGAAAAACCAGGGTAGGGAGCAGTGGGGAGAGGCCCTGGGTTAGGGTGAGTGCAAGGAACTGACATTTGAATGTTTGTTTCCTTGTAAAATATGTTGTTTTGTTGTATATGTTTTCAGTTAATATGAAAGGTAATTGTGCTGCCTTTTTTCACTCCACACCATTCTGTCGCCTGCTGTTCTGAAGGTGTGAAAGGGTATCTGTGTTATCAGACTTCGCATGTTATTGGTTTGGGCATTTCCTCACATACTTGGTAGTCATTTGGTTTCCTCTTCTGTGAACTGCCTACTCATTTCCTCTAGCTTGTTTTTTCAGACCCATTTTTTTTTTAGTTGGGATTTTTATCTTGTTGATTTGCTGGAATTCCTAGTATAGTCTAGAAATCAGTCTCTTGTCAGTTTTAGACTAAAGAAGGAGACGTCTTTCTCTGTCTATTAGGTGTTAACTTCACCTGTAATATCCCCTGAGAAACGGAAATCTTTAATCAGCTACAAAAATAACACCGATTGTAGTTGTTTACACTTTACATGCACCAGGAGGATGAAGCAGAAAAAGAAAGGCGGTCATCCTGGGGGACCCCTCACAAGCTGGACGGATCCCCATGACCCTCCTTTCTCAGCCTCCAGACTAACTCAGCATTCCTCAGTCATGATAAATTGTTAAGTATCACCTAATCAATTTATTTTTTCATGTAATTACTTTTCATGTAATTACACTTTTCCCTTTATGGTTTGCGCTTTTGGGGTCTTGTTTATAGAAGCTATACCCACACCTAGGTCACAAAGATAATCTCCTGTTGGCTATTTTATCATTTTACTCTGTACGGAAAATCTCTAATCTGTGTGGATTAAGGTATAAGGTGGTGGTCTCAGCAAGTCTCATTTGTCTTTCCCAGTTACTGTCAACTGAACAGTTCACCCACCCCATTGCTCTGTGGAGCCCCCTTCTGTGGGACGGCAGGTCACTCTGAAGCCCCGCCGCGGGCCTCTCCTGCCCCTGACCTGTGTGCCTGCCTGTGCACTTGGGCCCCTAACACAGGCCTTTGGAAGCAAGCCATAAGTGTGGTGCAAATGAAACCCCCTCTTTTCCCAGCTGTTTGGGAACCTTGGTGTTTCCTCATAAACTTTAAAATAAATTTTTCTGGTTTCTCAAAACACTCAGCTGCAAATTTGGTTGAGAGTGTAAAGAATTTATAGATCAATTTGGGGAGAGTTGGCTCGGTCAATGCTCAGTATTTGTCAAATGAATAAATGAATACAGTTATCCTGATGATATTTTAAACCTTCATACTAACATTTATCAAATCAGAATTCTTTTTCTTTTTCAGAAAAAATGTCCCAGTTTCACATTCTCACTATTAAGTTTCTAGCAGTTTCCAAAGAATCCAAGCAATAAAAGGTTAAATCAGCCTGAGACCTGGTAACCTAAAGATGTGACTGAGATTAATTTCTGAAAGATAACTTTTTAATGCAGTCCGCATCATAAGTCAGTGATCTGTTTTCATCAAGGAACATTTCCGTTTGTTTTTTCCCCCTCTCGTTTTTCTCAGTCCTGGGGCTGCACAGTGCACACAGCTCGGGAAAGGGCAGAGGGAGAAAGACCAGACAGAGAAACATCTCTTAATGAAACGTGTGCTGTGTAGGTGGGGGGTGGGGGTGGAGAGCAGAATTTCTGTCACAGTGATGCGCAGCTTCTGTTTGTCTTGATCTCAATCTTCTCTGCCCCCATCCCTTTCCTGGGACCGCCGCGCCAGTCCCCGCCTGCCCTCTGGTGGACAGTGTGTGCATAGGCGCTCAGTTGGGCAAGAGGGCTTAGCCTGCCACAGGGCTGGTGTTTACTTGTCTCCACCACCCCACCCCACCCCTCCCGCAGCCCGCAGCCTGTCTGCACATAAACCGCCAGACTGACAAATCACCCGAGCTTGATTCTGGGCTCCATATTTCGAAGTCAGTTTTTTTTTTTTAAGTTACATGATAATTCACAGTGAGTTATTTGTGCAAGAAATGAAATGCTTTATCACTGAGTTCAAAACCAGTGAGGGTGTCTCAGATATCGCATAATAAGTATTTAAGAGAAAAAAATAGGTTAAAATCCGTTAACATAGTCCTCGCTGCTTTGAAACTTGATAACTGCAGTTTTTAAAAGCTACTTTAATTGATGAGAACTGTAGCACTGGGCGGGGGAAGGGAGCTCACTTTAGCCTTTTCTCTCGTGGGAGCCAGTGGGTTCTTCCTGCAGCTGGGTCCTGTTCTGCACACACGACTGTCCCCAAGGCGCCTTTTACCCAACACTTGCCTTCCGCAGGGGAGGACATGTCTCAAGTCAGGGACGCCCGGTACTGACCACCCTGCACTTCCAAGGGAGCAGGGCGGTGAGGGTTGTTCTGAGGCTGGCGGCAGCCATTGCAGCTACCATGGACTTCCAGTGTGCTGCCCGCTGTGCTCAGTGCTTCCCAGCAACTTCATTCGATCCTCACAGTAATCTCATGATTTAAGACGCAGTTATTATCTCCACTTGGCAGACGAGGGACTGGCGCTTGTAGAGGGAAAGGTGTCCAGGATCCCTCAGCTGATAAGGGATGTGAACTAAACTTGCAGCAGTGACCGCTTCTCAGTAGGTGGAAGTCCGGTCACTGTGCTGGGCGCCTTTCACACACGTGGCCAGTGCTGGGGGTCCATCATGTCGCAGAAACACTGGGAAGAAAGAGAGGAATCGCCTTCCTCCCGGGCTCGCTGCCGCTGGCCTCGTCTGGCGCCTCCCCTCCTTGTCTTTGCGGCATGTCGTCCCCTCCTGTGTGAATGTGCACGTGTCTGGGGTCCTTCTCTTTCACTGGATTCTCAGACCCCAAGAGGGACACCAGAGTTCATGAGCTGCACTGGTGGGCGGAGGCTGCCTCACCCCTGCCCTGGGCCCTGCAAGGCCAGCTGCCGGAACTGAGAGTGGCACCCAGCCCAGACCCTCCGCCTGTCATGTGGGCTGGGAGGAGGGACAGGATCTCCCGTATCCAAGCCAAACCCGTTTCAAGCCACAATTACCCGGTTTTGACTTCAGCCTCACTTGCTCAGGTGTCACATGTCCTCCCACACCCCTCCATGCAGCCACAGACTGCGTGGCTGCTGGGCCAGCAGAACAACAAGACGTCTGGGGCTCTGCCGAGGCTGGAAAGGCCCATCATCTGTTCTTTGTATTGTCCTTTGGTGCCTGGATTTAACCTTCAAGGTGTGTGTACTCCTATCAAATGTGTACCATCAAAAAGGTCACCCTCTCCCAGGGGTGTGCTGCTGAATGCTTGCAACCAGCTCTCCCAAGAAGAAAGCCACCCCCTCAGCTTAAAGATGGCCCCCACCATACACTCTCAGCCCTGTAATCCCTGAAGCAGCCTCCACAAGTGTCATCACCCCATTCACGTGAGGGTCTCTGTTTGCTGCCATGTTTACTGGAAGCGCCGGGGGCCGCACCTCCCACTGCGTGCTGGGTGACGCAGGCACTCAGTGGATGTTTATGGAAGGGGAAGGGCCTGAGAGAGAGGCAGAGAAACATGCGAGAAAACGGGAGAAGGAAGAGAAGACAGCCAAGACAGGTCGTTAACTTACATGACTTTGTCCAAGAGGAGCAGCCATTGGGAGTGTACTGGGTGGGTGCCCTTTCATCTTTCCAGCTACAAGGGATGTGTCACTCAGGTGCTCTCAGCTGCCGTGACAGACACCTGATCTTAAATGGCTTGAACAATGAGAGAAATCCATTACCTCACAAGACGATGTCTTTGGAGACCCCCAGTTCTTGCCTCTTTCTGCTCTGCCTCCTCTGGGATAAACTGCCCCAGGCCAGGGCCCCTGCAGCTGTTGGGAGCTGGAGGCATCCCCTGGATATAGTCATGTCCCAGGGAAAGGGCGCCCAGGGAAAGGGTTCCTGCATGGAAACCTCACCGAGGCCACATACCCTGTCCTAATCCAGCCCTGCAAGGGGACTGGATAACAGGTGGTCACAGTGTGGTACCCAGACCGGCAGCACCTGGGGCTTGTTAGAAACTGGGGTGGAGCGTAGGGGGGGTGGGACCCAGGGCCCAGCGATCTGTGTTTTAACAAGCTCTCCTGGCAGTTCGATGGTCCGTAAAGTTTAAGAATAAAAAATGTGGGGCCGGTCGAGTGGCGCGTCGGTTAAGAACTGGCTTGGGACACCAACTCTGAGCAGCAGGGCCCCGGTTCAGATCCCACATGAGGGCCAGTGACGCTGCGCCCTTTACAGCTAAGATGGTGAACAACAGCTCAACCTGGAGCTGGGCGCTGTGAGTTGCCAGCTATGGCATAGGCTGCAGTCCCTGCTGCAGTGGGCTGCCATAAGCTACCACGAGTGGCCGGCAGCCAGCGTGAGCTGCCATGAGCAGCCGTCCAGTGGCCGGCGACCAATCTGCCTCACCTGGGAAGAGCGCAATGATAATACCAACATGGACCAGTGAAGTGATGTCCTCCACAACTAGACTGAAGAACAAAAGAACAGCAACTTGTCTGTTCCCCTCCCCGATTCCCCAACGCTGTTCTCCTCCCCCAGTTCCTCAATAAAATCTTAAAAAAAAAAAAGAATAAAAAATGTGGCTGGATTAATTAGTGGTGACTCACCCTTAAACACCTGAGCTCAGCTGGGATTTTGCTGAGGGAAAGTGGGGGGCCTGGTGGGGTTGAGCCACCCCCTGGCCTCTACCCAGGACGATGAAGACAGGCCCTGTATGAGAGGCAGGGGTGCCCCAGTAAGAGCCATAACTGGTGACTGGCCACGTGCTGACTCCCCGCTTTGTCTTTACTCCCCCTCCAGCTACCAGAGATTCACGGACTGTTACAAGCGCTTCTACCAGTTACAGCCGGAGGTGACACGGCGCATCTATGACAAGTTTGTAACCCAGTTGCAGACGTCTATCCGGGTGAGTGACAGGAAGCCCAGCGGGTGCTGTTGGCTTGCGTCCTGCCCCCAGCCTGCCAGCCCCCTGAAGGCGGAAACCCTACCGTCTGCCCCTCTGGGTCCTGCTCTGTCCCTAGAAACTGTGCTTTGTGCACAGCAGGCTGCAGTGGCAGCTGTCCCTTCAAATGACTGGGTATCTTCAGTGCCCTTTCTGTCATTGTCCTGTATTGTAATTGAGTGTTGACATGTTGTCTGCCCACCAGCACTGTGAGGTCAGCGAAGGCACAGGGGTCACTCTTTGTGTCTCCAGTGCCTGGTGCCTGGCCCAGACGGGGCTTTGAGCCAGTTGTTGAATTCATGGGGCTGTGCACTAGAGGGGACCCAGAAAGGACCTGTGTCCCTTGGTCACAGATGGAGAGTTAACCCCCTGCTGTCACACTCCAGGATGGGCGCTATGAGCCAGGTGTCCGTCCGTGGTCTGGGCAGGCCGTGGGGGCAGCGGCAGGCTGCAGTGCCTGGTGATGGCCGCACAGAGGCTGCTGCAGGCCCGTTCTACGTGGTGTTCGTCTTATCCTTTATTATTGTAAAACCACAGGTAGACAAATGGAGCGTTTGTATGGAGACACAGCAGACCCGAACTCAGACTTTGCTGGGTGCTGTCTTTCCGCTCTGGGCTCGTCTGTCTGGCATCATTGCCGCTTCTCCTTTCCCTTCAGGAGGAGATCTCTGACATCAAAGTGGAGGGGAACCTGGAGGCTGTTCTGAATGCCCTGGATGCCATTGTGGAAGAAGGCCGAGACCGCACGGAGCCAGCCTGGTGAGAGGGGCCGCGGGGACAGGCGGAGGGGAGACACCAGACAGGAACCCCAAACAGTGACATGCACAGTTCCCTGTGGGGAGGAGAGCCCCGGCAAGTGCGTGATGTCCAGGGGTTTGAGGCAGACTGAGGGGACCTTCCTGGGAAGGTCGCTGCAGGACCCCTCTGGCCCGTGGGGAAGGGGCCGGGAGAGTGGGAGGAGGCTGAACAGCAGGCGTGCGTCGTGTCCACGAGGCTGGCCCGGGGCCCTGGCTGTTGTGCCCGAGTCAGCCGTGAACGACACACAAAGGCCTGCTCTCCTGGGGCTGACAGCAGTGGGCGGCCTGCTGCCGGGACGTCCTGTGCAGGATGGACAAGTAGCCCTGGGACGAGGGCTGGAGCGTTGAGGCCACCAAGGCCACACACAGCCTGGGCTGCTGCCTCCCCCACCCTTGCCTGCCTGAATCCGATCCCAGGCCAGAGGGAGTAAATAAGTACCTTTTGTGTGCTTTCCAATTTTGTAAGGCTTTGTGGCCTTACTGTGTAAGAGAATTAAGTTTCATAGCTGAAAAAGACATTTTAGAAGGACCTCCAGTGGCTTCCGCCCACTGCCCATTCGAGCTGACCCCGTCCTCACCCCGGCCATTCAGAACCCCCGTAACCTCCCCTCCCAGACCTGTCTTCATCTTCCCCGTGAGCCAACACTGGGGCCGCTTCGGGCAGCGACTCGGGGGGAGCTCCTCCTTCCCCCACCTCCATGCCCTGCAGGCACACAGTCACCAGGACAGGCGGGCCGGAAAGTTGCCTCTCATCCTGGGGTGTCAGAGGTGGAGGACAAGGGGAGGACAGGAGTCCCGGCTGGGAAGGCTAAGGTGGGCGGAGTGAGAGGGGAGCGGACGGCAGAGCTGGGGCAGGAACAGGGAGCTGGGCGGGAGGTTAGCGCTTCCATCGGGCAGGAGCTGTGCAGCTGGGGCTTGGGAGGAGACAGGGACCACAGCAGCCCAATGTGAGACCAGAGGTGCGATTGTCACCGGTTGGGGTTGGAGGCAGAATCCTCACCCCCACGCCCTCCCCTTCCCACCCTGTGCCCTGCTGCTCTCCAGGCGCCCCAGTGGGATCCCAGAGAAGGACCTGCGCAGTGTCACTGTGCCCTGCCTCCTGCGTCAGCGGGATGCCCTGCAGCGCCGGCTGCAGAGACTGGAGGCTGAGAACAGGCAGCTGGCAGACGCCGTCCTAGCCGGGCGCCAGCAGGTGCAGGAGCTACAGCTGCAGGGCCAGGCCCGGTGGCAGACCTGGCAGGTGGGTATCCTGGCCCTGCCCTCAGGCACTGTCCCCTGCTGCAGCAGAGGAGACAATGGGCCCAGAGAGAACAAGTGACTTGCCCGAGGGGCCGGCTGCTCCGTGTCCGCGTGGGTGACTCCCTGCATCCCGGCCGGCTTCTCCATGTCTGAATGGGGTGACCCCCTGCAGCCCAGCCGGCTGCTCCGTGTCCAGTTCCTTCACCACGCACGCAGTAGGGTGGCCTCTGGGTCTTCCCCCTAAAAACATCCTGCGTGCAACATGTGTCCTTTCAGGGTGGACTGAAGTTTTGAAAGTGGCCAAGTTGGTGAATAAGGGGAAGAGGGTGCTCAGGCCGATAACAGATGGCAGGTGTGGCCGCAGTGTGTGACATGCATTTGCCTCCTGGCTCATAGTGTGGCTTCAGAAGAGGGTTTCTAGGAGGCCTGAGCAGTGGCACCGCTCGCCATTCGCCCCATCTACACGTCCAGCTACAGCCATTTGATGGCTCCCTTCCTGGTGCAGACCCCCCTGTTCCCAGGATGGTTGCCCCAAATCCACAGCTCCTGGATCCCTTGGGCTTCTCTCCCAACACCTTGCAGCTGAGCCTAAGGACCCTGCCCTGGCTTCAGCAAGGTGGGGGAGGGGCAGCAGGAGGCTAGCTCTGCCCCCTCTTGTCCGCACCCCTCCATCTTCCCCACGTCACAGACCGGCCCCGGGGGACTGAGCAGCAGGCACCAAGGTGACCAAAGCCTCCAGCCTGGTGCTGTCTTGTGGGGCAGCTCCCACAGCGCAGAGTTCATGCCTGGGCATTTGTGGGGCCACTCTGCGGCGTCCTCCGGCACCACGAGGCCCCAGCCGCTCCCCTGTCCGGGTCCTGGCTTCCAAGTTGGCCAGATGATGATGCCCAGGGCCCTGCCCGCTTGAGGCCCCTGCTCTCAGGGCCGCCTCCGCCACCCCAGCTCTAGACCCCTGCCCAGGTTGCAGGGGGTCAGCTGGATGGCATGGTCGGTGCTGAGAACCGCGCGGGAGCTTCCGAGAACGCTTCTTCACCAGTGTCTGTGTCTGGCCCAGCGGAAGTCCACTGCACTCAAGGAAGTTCCTGTTAGAGACTGCAGTGGGGTCAGGGGAAGGGGACACTTTGGGGGCCCTTGCAGATCTCTGCTCTGGGGAGGCCCCGCCTAGGTGGCCAAGGCACCCAGCCAGCCAGACATCTGCTGAGTGGGGCTGAGTGGGGGGACTTCTCACGTGCCCCGCTGGGTCTGGACATGAGATACTGGCCCCTTACGTCCATTCTGGGGGACGCGGGCCTGGAGGCGAGGCAGTGCAGGAAGAGGCTTTAGGTGGCCTCCCCTCCCAGTTTGTCCCTCCTCTCCCCCGATGGCAGGCTCTGCATAGAGGACGCAAGGAGCTGGTTGCTGTGCTGAGGGAGCCTGAGTGAGGGAGTCGGCGGGAACCGGGAGCAAAAGGTGTCCCTGTTGAGGGCCTGTGGCGAGCGCCTCTGAGAACAGCTGAAATGGTGCCCAATCCCTAAGCAGTGATGGAATTTGCTGGGGACACCCCGAGCAGTCCCCAATACTGCTGTGCCTTGGGGCTCCTGTGGACGAACGGACACACACACACACCACCTTCGGCTTCCATCCTATTGTCTTCTGACAGGGACCCTGGGAAGCAGGCTCAAGCCTCTCCTCTGGGCCCCCCTTCTGCGGTTCCCAAGCCCTCCCTCCGGGCTGGCCTGGGGGATCTGTTTTCAATCTCCACTGATTGCCCCCTTGCCAGCCAGCCCCAGGGCTCTGGCCATGCTCTGCCCACATCCGTAAATAAACTTCCTCCACTACACTGTAATCTGTGAGGACGCTGCTTCCGCCAGGCCTATCGGGGGCGCGGCACCTCCTGGGCTCCTCGAGGCGTCTGCTGCACTCCGCTGACAGCCTCCAGCCTCGGTGGGTTGACGGGGGTGAAGCCCCTTGTCACAGAAACCAGGACCCCTGGGTTCTCTGAGGCGAGAACAAGCTTTCAGGGGGGTGTTACTCTGTCCAACCCAGCCCCCGACTTCGATGGTTTGGGTTAATTCTGAGGAGGGCCCCAGCGGGGGCCTCGGTGCTCTCAGGGCAGGTGGGCCTCCGGTTTCCCATGCCTCAGCCGGGGCCAGCGGGCACGGGGGGCTCAGCAAAGGTGGGGAGAGTGCTCCCCAGACCAGAGGGCAGAGGGCAGAGCACGCGTGGGGCAAAGCGTTCTTCCCTCGTGATTTCACCTAACTGGAAACAGGCTTGGTTGGGCCTGTCTGGGAGCCCTGGGGACACTCAATTCAGGTGGCCCCTGCTCACCACCCGCACCTGATCCCCTAAATCAAGCCCATGGCCCCCCTCCCCTGCAGCTACAACCTCCCACAGGTCCTGGGGGTGGGAGGGGGGTGCTTTGTCAGGTGAGTGGGTGGGGAGAGAGGTCACTCCTCTCCAAGCTCAGCTGTGAGACAGGGTTTTTCAGGCTGGATGTTGTCCCCTGGAGGTCAGGTCCCCAAGGTTGTTCCCACCACGATGGATCAGGGGTCAGAAGCTTTCAAAGGCCCCGTGAGGGGCACGGGATGGGGGCGCCACCACACTGACCCCAGGCCTGCCCGACACAGGCTGTCCTTATCTCACACCGGCCCCACCTCTGTTGGCTTTTGGCGCCTGGCCCTGGGCTACCCGACCCTTCCTCCTGGCCTGACCGAGGCGAGCCGCCCCCGCCAGGCCTGCTGGTGTCTGCAGGGTGAACGAGGACACGGCCGGCACTCCCTGCCTGGGGTTTGGCTCCTGCCCATGGCTGACAGTGGAAATCACAGTTTGCTACAATCTGCTTTGGACCTCTGGGCCCCTTCCTCTCTAGGCCCCCCGCCCCCCGCCCCCTCTGAGGGAGTGGGCAGGGCCGGGTCTCGGCCGGCCGCCCTCCCACCCTGTACACTCACTCCCTGGGGCCTGTCCAGGCTCCAACCACAACATCCTTTGGGGTTTGGCCTGCAGAGTCGGGCGGATGACCCCCAAATAGCCCTGGCAGAGTCCCCCATGACCCACCCGCACCGCGGTCAGCCCCCCTCCCCCCAGCTTTCGGGGCACAGCCCAGAGGGTATAAATGGTGCTGGAGGCTGGCGGACGCAGGTCATCTGAGTCCCAGCAGCAGCCACCGAGACACCATGAGGCCCATCGTGACCCTCGCCCTGCTGGCCCTGGCCGTGCTCTGCCTCGCTGGCCAGGCAGGTGAGTGTCGCCCGCTCTGCCCAGCAGATGAGGAGAGTGCCATGGCCTCCCCTCCTCTGGCAGTCCCTTTGGCAGTCTAACTGCCCTCCCTCAGGCTCAACCAGTTGGCCCCAGCTCTGTCCTTGCAGAGGGAAGTGGGGAGAGCCAGCTGCCAGAGGCAGGAGACGGGGTCTGGGGGCGAGCAGGGGTGAACCCGCCTGGTTTCCTTTGCAGGTGCAAAGCCCCGCCGTGCGGACTCCGGCCGAGGAGCAGGTAGGACGCAGGCCTGATGGCAGCTGTGTGCCCTGTCACCCAATGGTGCTGCCCACCCTGGTCCCCAGCCCCACTCCCTCCTGCCAGGCTTTCAAGGCCAGCCTGCTCCCCACCTTGTGCCCCTAAACTGGCAGCCGCCTGACCCTGGCCTCTCTTCGCAGCCTTTGTGTCCAGGCAGGAGGGTAGTGAGGTGGTCAAGAGGCTCCGTCGCTACGTGGACCCCGGGCTGGGGTGAGAGGAAGGGGCGCTGGGGGCAGTGGGAGGGGAGGGGAGGTGGGCCTTCTGCAGAGGCTGACGCCACTGTGTGGGGCTCACAGAGCCCCAGGCCCGGACCCCCTGGAGCCCAAGAGGGAGGTGTGCGAGCTCAACCCCGACTGTGACGAGCTGGCGGACCACATCGGCTTCCAGGAGGCTTACGCGCGCTTCTACGGAACGGCCTAGACCTGCCGCCTGCCCCCGGCGCCCCGCTGCCTCCCCTCCCCTTCACCCCTGCCCTACCAGTGTGGGGTCCCCACCAGCCCAGCTGCTCCAGAATAAATCCAGGCGAGGAACTAGGGGCTCGGTCTCTTTGTGCGTCTGGCGGGGGCGGTACAGGGCGGACGCGTGCAGACAGCAGGTCATACCTCTTCAGCCCGTGCTTCCCAAAGCGGTGGGTGTTTTTATTTGTACCTGCCTCATTCCAGAAGCGTTGAAGGTGGCTTTCTAAAGTTTAACTAGGGTCCCCCCTCTAGCCCAGCACTCTCCCCCCACCTCAACCCACTGCACTGTTGGTGATACACCCAGAAGAGCCAGACCCCAAAGGCCTGGACGCCCTACGCACAGGGCTGTGACCGGGACACTCGCAGCCACAGGCAAAGAGCTGCCAGCAGGCGGCACTGGCTGGTTGGGGATGGGGGGCAGCAGTGGGCCCCTGCCCGGTTAGCAGCAGTCAGGGTGGGCCTGGGTTAGTTGTGTTAGTTTGTCCCTGGAGCAGCAGAAATGGGACCAGATGCAAAGCCCTAACCCCTCCCCATTCAGCATCTGGGGGGTCTCCTGCCTGGACACACGCACGTCCCCTCTCAGACTCTCAGCACTTGCCCAGCACCATCAAGCGCGCCTCACGAACCCTCCTGCTCTCTGCGCCCCCCCCCCAGCTCCCCTGTCCTCCGCACTCTCTCCTCAGTCACTCACTTCCAGGCTCAGAGGTGCCCCCGCCTTTTGAAGTCTGGGTCTGGGCTCCTCCCCAGCACCAGGGTCTGGCCTCTGCCTCCCTCCAGGGCAGCCTCAGAGGTGGGCTCACTGTTGCTTAGCCTTCGTGCCCCCCTCCAGCGGGCCACCCTGCAGCAAGGGCCATGTACTGGGGGCCCGGAATAGGGCGGCTGAGAAGACCGCGATGATGAGCAAGTTCCCGGCCACCGCCAAGCCCAGCGTGGCCACTGTGCCGGCCAGGCCCAGGGGGGGCTCCTGCGTGGCCAGCCAGGCTCGGCGAGACCCCATGTCAGCCAGCACCGCCTCTAGCTGGAAGTGGGTGCCCAGCACTGCACAGACGTGGAACAGCTGGTGGCTGTGGCCTGTGGGAGGGTGGGCAGGTCAGGGCACACAACCCGTTCCCCAGACTGCCCCAACTCACCCTGGGACCCATGGCAGTCACCCCATCCTCTGCGCCTGCTACTATCCTAAAAGTAGGAAGAAGGTCCCCTGATTCTGTTACTGGGGGAAGAGAATAGCAAATGGGCATGAAACACAGCCCCTGGCACACAGGCTACTAGTTTTGCTGTCACCCATGAAGTGGGGGTGGGCCTGGACCCCCAAAGGCCCCCAGGGACACTGTCCTCTGGCCGTAGTGGCCTCTCTGTGCTCTGGGGAGCTGTCTCCTCGCGCCCGCTCCCGGGCAGGCCGGGCCTGCTCTCACCGATGTAGTCAAAACGTCCTGGTGCCAGCCGCTCGGGCAGGTGGGAAGCGAAGAGGAAGCCGGTGAGCAGGGCGCACACAAGGTGGTAGCCGTGGCTGGAGGTCAGTGCCTCCTGCCCGCAGCTGTGGCCCCCGCCCCAGCACAGTCCCAGCTGGCAAAAGAAAGGCAGGGCTGAGCAAGAGGGGCTTGGGTAGTGTACCCGGTGAGGGTGGGGGCAGTAGCCCCGGTTCAGAGATCCAGTGGGCAGGACAGGAAAACAGCCTGGGCAGGACCCCAGGCGCCCTTACCCGATAGAAGAGTGGGAGGTTGTCGAACAGGAAGGGGTAGGCGAAGGCGCCTGTGCGAAGGACCTTACTGAGCCCAGGGCTCTCCAGCTCGGGGAACCTGGGGGGCAGGAGGCAAAGGCTGGTCACCCTGCTGGTGCTGGGGTGGAGGTCAGAGGAGGAAGAGGGAATGTCAGTGGAGCTTAGTGGCTATGAGAGCCCTTTGGGCACATGACCTCGGTAAATGACCACAGCTGTGAAACGGGGACAAAGACATCTGCCCCTTTGGCGGCTGGGAGAATTAAAGGAGACAGCGCAGGTATGGTGCTAACACCAGGCTGATGCTGGCTGGCCTCCCAGAGATCTCCTGTCCTGTCCCTCCGCCCTCCCCCTCACCACTGGCCAAGAACCCACCGGGAGTAGCAGGAGAGGCCGGTGCACAGAAAGGAGTTGAGTGCGGCGGCGGGCACAAAGAGCTGGTGCAGGCGGCCGTGCAGCCAGGAGGCCGGCATGGAGTAGGCGGCATAGGGGAAGGCGCAGCCTGGGGAACAGGGGTTACGGTGGGAGCTGAGGCCCGAAGGGCGCACCCCCGTGCACCTG